GCCTCCGACGGGATTCGAACCTGCGACCTCTCGCTGACAAGGCGAGGGTCATAACCACTAGAACACGGAGGCTTCATGGTTGAACAGGTCCAAATACCTGTTGGGAACATTGTATTACACAATGCTAAGCTTCAAGAGGGCGTTCGGCCAGATAAATCTGGAAATACGGCTAGAAATACTGTCGTATATTATATATGATATTGAAGGAAGTTAGCCGTTTAATTAATATAAATCATCATATATATATATATATATATACACACACATATATATATATATATACACACATATATATATATACACACACTGTATTGTGTATAAGTAAATTTAGAACTTTGTGTATACCTCATAGAACAAAATAACATACATTTTGTGCTTTAACTAACACTGTCTTGTTCTCAGAACATGAGCAATAATTTTGCTAATTTTTATATAATTTTACTTATACAGTACTGTCAAACCAGGATATATGAATGTACACACAGTCGAAGTATATTATGTACACATAAATGACCTTAACCACAAACCCCTTTTTCAACCTACCTTTCAAACTTGACCTATTGCTCCCTTTGCATGAATTAACTAACACTAACTGTATAATTGAATAATTGAATTCCTCATTGCAGGACAGCGGAGGCTTTCAGATGGTGTCCTTATTAGATCTTGCAGAGATTACAGAGGAGGGAGTCAAGTTCAATTCACCTTACACCAATGAAGAGCTCCTACTTACTCCAGAGAAGTCGATGGAGATACAGAATAGTATAGGAGCGGATATTATGATGCAGTTAGATGATGTTGTCCATGTGTTGACTCAAGGTCCAAGGGTAGAGGAAGCCATGCATAGGTTAGTAATACACTTTACAAATCCATGATTAAGATTCCATATTTATTAAAATAAATGCCCCGCTTTTTAATAACGCTCTCCTCGAATAAACGCCCCTTCTAGAGCCTCATTTAGAATAAACGCCTCCCTCGAATATATGCCCCAGGGCGTTTATTTTTTCCTTATGTAAACGCTCCCCCCCCCCCAAAAAAAATGACTAAATAAATCTAATGTAAGCAACATCATTCTCAACATATTCTATTAATGTTCTACTCCAGTAGACTTCGTTGGGATCAATAAGTTAATGAACACATTTACAGTGAAATTAAGGGGTGTTTATTTGAATATATATGTATCCATACATATCCACAAAAAAATAAACGGCTTTCTCCAATAAACCCCTCTCTCGAATAAACTCAATCTCAAAAACCCTTCTCAGCAATAAATGCCCCGGGGCATTTATTAGAATAAATACGGTATCTAAATAGGAGCATAATCTTTTTCAAACATCTTGCATATATCTTAGGTTGTTTGATTTGTAAAATTTTGGGTTGATTTGGCCTTTTCATAAACAAGATCATTAACATTTTCATCACATTATCACCATCAAGATCACCTCTATCATTAAATGTCATTATTAACATCACCACCAGCATTATCACCAACACTACCATTATTATCACTGCCATCATCACTACCACTATCATCCATCTTCATCAATATATTTGCTATAAACGGATGCTATATTTGTCTATGGATATTTTTTTTTTCACTCTTTAGGTCTATACGTTGGCTCGACAGGTGTGTTGCAGCTCATAAGAGACCTTCAGAGCAGGCTCTGTTTGCCATAGTTCAAGGAGGCCTTGATGCAGATATGAGGAGACAGTGTGCAACAGGTTCAATATCATATTTGACATTAACACAATTAAAAAATTAGATGTAAAATAAAAATTTACTTTATCAGTAAAAAATATTTTTGACTATGTATGATGAGAATTTACATCAAATAATGATGGTAACAGTTATTATATAATTAAGTAAAATCATTTGAGGTGTTAGTTTGATTGATTATATTGGGAACATGGGAAATTGTACTACATCAATCAAAATAACCCTAACATTTTACTCTTTCGTGAATTTCATTGTTTATATAAAGCTTTTAAGTAACCAATTTTTATGACTTTATAATGATTTCATGACAATAACATTGATTCTGATGTCACCTTGTGATTATAACAATAAGGTTTATTTTATCTATTTATTAGCAATGATGATTGTTATGATGACATTCATTAATATTATTGCCATTTATTTTATTGTAATTTATTATTATTAAAAATAATATCAACATAAGTAATCAAATTTCTGATAATTCAGTTATTGTGCGATTTTTTATTTGGCTCTAATATTTCAGTATTTTTTTATTTAATTTTTTTCTCTGTAGAAATGATAAAACGTGATACACCTGGTTTTGCTATTGGTGGACTAAGTGGTGGCGAAAGCAAAGATGAATTTTGGAAGATGGTGACCGTCTCCACAGATATCCTGCCTCAAAACAAACCAAGATATCTTATGGGAGTTGGGTAAAATATGCTTATTATCCTGCCAACCATTTATAGTGTAACTATTTAGCTATATTTGAGATTTCTTCTCTTTGTTGGTCCAAAAAAAGAAAAAAAGATTTACTCACATACTATGTTTCAAGAACAGTATGTTTGCTTTCTCAAAGACACTGGCAATGTTACACTCAGCTTGGTCTGATGTCACCTCGGTGTTGTTGAGGTGCATCACTACATCTTCTACATGGTTCCACCCCTCCCCTCCCTCCATTGTTTTCTCGTAGGATGTCATCGTATATGTGTGATAGATCATGTCCCCCTTTGTCTCTGTTCATTGTATCTTTTGTTACAATTTATAACATTGCCAGTCACCTTGAGGAAACAAACAGATTGTTCTTGAAATGTAGTATGTAGGTAAATAATTTTTTCACCTTTTGGAACAGAAGTTTATCTAGTGTATTTCAAGCTCCTAGCAAAATAAATGTCATTGTTCACTTATATTGATGACAATAAAATATTATTAATTCTTGATTAATGTTGCCTTCTCTATTCCCATCAGGTATGCTGTTGATCTTGTTGTATGCTGTGCCCTAGGGGTGGACATGTACGATTGTGTATTTCCAACAAGAACTGCTGTGAGTACATAAAATATAGACTCTGTCAATGTTAAATTATTATGACGATGATGCAAGCCATTTGAAATCATAATGAGCGTATACAGTATATATTATTGTACCACAGCCCTCTGGATTGTAAATTGTACACTACATACTAGTAAGATTCTAAAATTGATTAAATTAGCCTTTGAAACCCCTAAATTGTCATATTTCTTCGGGCTTTGCAACCTGGACAACTTTCGAAAGATTTTGAGTGACGCCTGACCACGCCCACTTTGCTTTCGTCGGGGACATGAGTCCACTTGGGGTCCTCTGGCCTCCCCCCCCCCTTGTCAAGCAAATCCTGATGCCACCCCTGAAGCATTCAAAAAAAGATAATAAGCTACTTACTAAAACTTGATTGCCACAACTGTATAAAATAGGTCTATATGAGATAAGAGCACTACAGCATAGAAAAAAATCTTGATATTGTTTTACAACAGCTCAAATAACCCTCTCAGGAGAGTTAGGCAAGTTAAGGACCATGTATGTAGAGTCTCTATCTCTGTCTATTTGATGTTGTAGAGTAAGTGGGGTAGTTGGCGCCGAGTTATGGCAGCCGCGGGTCCCCGGGGACCCAGCCCAAATTTACCAGTGTTTAGGCATACATATATGAGGACAAATAAAGAATTATTATTATTATTATTATTATTATTATTATTAAACAGGGAATGTAATAGGAGTTCTTTTTTTGTGTGTTATTGTACGTTCCCAATTATTTGCAAAAAATATATCTTGCGTCCGGTAGAGACAAAAACATCTAAATATATTCAGTTTATTTTCTTTATGATTTAAACAAGTTAGAAGTAAGCTTGAAGCAGCTCCAAGTAGCAGTGTACTTGAATTCAATTTTAGTATTAAGCTGCTTCAAACTTACTTCATATAACTACCAGTCGTTGGACCCCCGTCGAGGAATTTTTAGCGCTGCCAGTGTGGAATACTAGTACCATATTACATGTTTGAGTGGTCAGTGCACCTACAAGGACTTTTTGTGTTGTACACCGTGAGTTAATCCTTGCATAAGGCACTAAATTTATATTTGTTCCATAAAATATATATTAGAAGTGTAAAAATGGTTAGTTGATGATAAGCTGTTGTGGTATTGAATGTGAGTGTCTGATGACCAGTCACTCGCTAGGTAACATACAGTAGTAAGATGTTGGATTTGTTGCTTAATAAGTACAAGTGGAGTAACAGCTATGAGCCCTCACTGGGTAATGCCAGGTGCCTCTGACTTTAATGGGTTCAGTGGGATATATATCAGCATTTTTCCCCCAAATAAGCTAAGCAGGGCCTTTAATATTTATTTTATTTTATTTCATTTCACCCAACAGCGTAAACGCCAATAGGAGTAAGAATAAATACAGTATAATATAAAATAATTATAAAATATTCAAAAAAATTTTGAAAACAGTACAATAAACATTCATGATTAAAACAATTTACAATAATTTCTAAAATTATGCAGAAAGAGCATTATAACAGCATTTAAGGAACAAAACGTGTAAAAAGGAAACATCAAAATGTAGTACGCCCTTAAAACCTCAATAACGCCAAAGCTATCAGAGATTTTCACCTTCTGGGCTCAACCCGGATGGCCAGGCCTCAAGTATTAGGACTCAAAGAAGCCTTCGTCAAAGGCATCGCCTTCTTCGTTAAGTCACGAATATGGAGCAATGGCCAGAATGCAATAAATATTCTCTTTATTTTTTAATCTGTCTTGGTGTACTGGTCACTTTAGTAAACAGAGTGGATTGTTCTTGAATAAATAGTGAAGATAACAATATTGATGGAAATATGAGTGAAATCCTTTGCAGATAGAAAGCTGACCTTGTTCTTTCATGAACGAATGAAGCCTATATATGTAGTACTCATAAAAGCTCAACAAACTATTTGCGTTAGATCCAGGGGTGGCACCATAATCAAATTAGTCCAAAGGGGATCTTTTGTCCCAGGCGAGACGTGTAAGTGGGTGTGGCCAGTGGCTGCCCAGAACCACTTCAAGGGGTCAAAATCAGGCCCGTAGCCAAGGGGGCCTTTTAAATGTTTGCCCCCACCCCTGTGAAAATAAAAATGGTGATTGAGTATGGGGAAAATAACAACAAATGAACAACAAATATTTACTATATATAAATATATATAGGCCTAATACCACCTAAACTAAGTAAGTATTCATTTTTCATGAGAGTTCATTATTCTCCAAAACCTAGACACGGAAATAGTTGAAATGCTGTCGAGGAGGGATAATTTTTTAATTCTCGCTCTCTGTGTATTCCTGGTATGTTTTAATCTATTTTGTCAGTATATATTTAAAGTACTGTATCCAGGTACAGTACTAGATATTTCATAAATATCTGCCGTACCTAGATAAATCATATTCCAATCGTCAAGATGTGACCGGGATAATCTCAGAATCATGCCAGTGCATTCTCATAATCCTAAGTGTTTTATACTTTCTAAAGAAACCGTTCTTAATTCAGAAATTTCATTAAATTTCCGAAGAGATTAATTATATATTAATGTATTAATAAAAATTATTACCGTCAAAGTATGACCCTTTGGAAACGGTTTTTAAGGTCTGAGAGTGCCATTACCAGGCATCTAGAGTTGCCACATTTTTTTTATATACTCAGCACCGACCTTGGTGCTGGTGAGGTGGATGTTGTGACTTCTCTCCCTATTTTTTTTTCACAAATTCGCAGTTCTGTTTTATGACATTTGCCAATTCCACAACCAGGGTGGGATTGAGGTGGATGTTAACGTCTGTTATTCACCCCTCCTTATTTTCCCTATGGATGCATGGGAACTTAATTGATCTACTTAAAATTGAACCGACATAATATCAAATTAAGACATATATTTTAAGTCTGAGAATGCAACTTATAGGCATTTAGTATTGTTGCATCATTGGGTTTTTTTTTGTCTCAACCCCAACCATGGTGGGCCGGATATGGGTGCAGGATTGCTTGATTGCAATATCTTCGTATCAAAAAGATATTTGATGTAGGCCTATTTAAAATTGAACGTCAGCCTTATTGTCAAATTAAGATATTTTGAAAACATAATTTAAAAAAAAGTGCCGTTGTTTATTATTTTAGTTTCAACCATGGTCCAGAGGGCTAGGCCCAAAGGCTTATTTAATCGATTTTAGAGTATAGGCCTACCCACAAACTGTAGACCTCCTTGATGACTTTTGACATTTTTTTCTCAGACGGCGTAATCATAACACCGATGTTATGTAAACAAGTATTGTGGAAAGTGGCACCACCAAAAAAAAAATCACGCACAAATCATCTTATTTTGCGAGCCTAATCATTGTTCCCCCACTTTCGCGGGATCAAGGTGGCATATTCCCGGAGACCTGAAGATCCAGGAATTTAAAATAGAGGGAGTCAGAGAAGGACTTTCAGAGATGGGATGTCTCAGCCCAACCATGGTTGGGCTGGCTGAGGTAAGAAAATTTATGATCATGGCACACTTGGACTAAATATTGAGTAGAACATTTTTTCTAAATTTTTGTTAAAATTTAGGTGAGAGAGACCGCCCCCCCCCCTCTTAAATCCGCCACTAGTTTAATTATTAATTCAGTATGTATTTGAAAATCGAATCTTTATCAGGTCTATTCATATTTTTCTATCTTGTATGTATATTGACGATGTCCAGGGTCCAAGCCTTTGATAATTATTAGTTAATGACGCATAGAATATACTATTTGATACATTGTAAACAAACTCTAGAGTAGTAGAATTCATGAAAAATATTCATAAAAAAGAATAAGAAGCCATAAATTACGAGCTGAATAATACTGGTTGAATGTATACGTTTAATAATTTTTATTTTTTTTTTTTTTTACCTAGAATCCCTGGCCTCTTTCGGCCCCGTCCCCCAGTGGTACTTGCCCGTTAAGCCCCGGCCTCTTGGCGCCACTACGAATGTAACATGTATTACCGGTATTGTATCCAAAACTATGCTGCCATTATAAAAACATTTACTATCTCGGTCATTATTGCAGAGAAAATGATCCGGGTGTTCCAAGTTATAATTTCTACTATATTAATAGACAGGTATGCGTGAAATCGTTACCATATGTATCTGCTTAATAGTCCAGTAGTAAACATACAGTCATGACAGATGGATTAGATTATATTAAATATATCTGTAAAATTGTAGTTGTATCATAGATTGCATCTAATTGCAAATTTATGTCTTTTTCTTAACCCTATTTTTTTCCATAACATTCTGGGGTCGACGATCTCCCTTTGAATTCATGTCCGATAACGTGAACCGAATTTAACCAACTCTTAACTAAACTGATTACCAACGATTGATAACATTTGGCTTTATTTGCACCTGCGGTCAATACACTGAATATTTTTAGTCCTGCTAATCTTAGGTTGTTGATCATATAGATATATTCTGCAAACATTTAAATGCTATTATTGGGTAAATGGTCAAGAAAAAGGCCATAGGAAGTGGTCCGGTGGACCAATAATTCACTAATCCATATCGTTTGTATGCCAAAAATTGCCCTTTTAACGCAAAATTGTTTTACAAAAAAAATCAGTATGACTCAGCATACACACCCACAACCACACACCCACACCAGTATAAAACTACAAGAGGTCCGACTGCTCTGGTTTTGTATCAGGCAAAGGAACGTTAAAAGCACTGCCACGAAATAGGGAGAATCCTACACTGAATTTAGAAACTCATACGCGTTGCTCTCATCTTTTTAAAGGCCACGCCCCTTTGTGGAAGTACTATTTGAAATAGGAATGCGTTCCAACGAATCCCTGGCACTGCTCTAGCAGTTTTATACTCTTTGCCCACACACGGAAAGGATATTTTTAGAAGTAACATATGAAATTAACTACGATACCAATCAAGTGAAAAAAATACTTCATGGAAATTTAAGAAACTTGCATTAATTTGCACAGACCTCTGCAGATTTTATTGGGTTCCGGCCCGGTTGCCAGCCGAGCCCGTTGCCACCTAGGCCCGTTGCCACCCGGGCCTTTTGCCACACTAGGCCCGTTGCCACCTAGGCCTGTTGCCACCTTTGAGTAAAAAGCGAATACAGTATTTACATTATGTTGAGTTGTCTTTTTTAACACAAATTTGTTATGGATGTATATATTTTTATAATTTTGTATTTGAATAGTGAAGTTAATCTTAACTAACACCAAATGACTCGCGCCCCCAGTCGTGCCCCCAAATCACAAGTAGTTAAAAATCACCTAAAATCACCATTTTTTGCGAATTAGCGCCCCTCAACTGATCATCGAGGCCCCCACTTCACCTTCGCACCCCTCATCAGCCCCCCCCCCAATTGAAGACTTCTAGATACGTCACTGATTATATTGTGCAATTTAGTTTATCTCTTGAGAAAGCTATGATTGATCTCCCTCACTTAAAATAAACTACAAATCCACTCTCGTATCCACTCCCTTATCTCATGTATTTGAAAGTATATAAATAAATTAAGGCCAAAGACAATACTTGGTTTTAGTAATAATACACAGTGCAATTGTAATCAATATTTATTTTGGGTTCCTAAATTAGCCCCCAGACACTCGGGAGTGGATGATGTAGATTTCTGATTGGTCAGATAATAATATTACATATAACCAATCCAAAGCAAGTTTACCGGTGTAATCAAACAAACCACACTATTTGCTGCTAGATAGGTTCTGCTTTTTTTAGCTCATCAGTGATATAAAAGGAATTAATTTTTGCCAGTTCTCGGACTACTTGCATTTACTGCATTTACATCTCAGTGGTTTTTGTAGCCTGTTCTAAGATTGCGAAAGCTTTGTCCTTATTTTAGCAACCGACGATCAGAATGAATTCAATGAAGCACACCTCCCGGTTGATAAAGACGGTCACAGACGTCTTGACATGCCAGACTAAGCGAACGGTCACTAGCAAGTCTTTCAACACAAGGTATATAAACCCATTATTGCATTAATTGGTCTTATAACTGAAAGGTCCACTGATTAATTTCAGATAAGATTGTATAATACATACTCCAAGTATTGAAATGTACGCCATCGTGTTGGGATTCACTATGTCGACATTAATTATGTCATCATCAGGAATGATTACTGATGATGACAATTAATGTCGAAATATTTAATCCCAACACGATGTCGATGGCGTGCATTTCAATACTTGGAGTATGTATTATAATTTCTTTGAACTTATAATGTCAGAAAAAAAGGGTTGGGGGGGGGGGGGGGGGGGGGGGGTCTGGAAATGTATAAGCCTAGATAAGACTTGATCATAGCAGATTTTATTTTAAACTTGATCGTAGCAGCACAAACACAAGTAATTAAACGGTTTATTTAAATATATTGCAAAACATACCTTTCTACTTTATTACTGTTAGTAAGTTATATCATAATAATATGAAGCCAATGTTAGTAGACGTTCAAGCATTAATATTATTAACCGAGAAATATTAATTGAAGATAAGAACAAGAGAAAGACGTTTCCTCATAGGTTAACTGACTTATAAATAATACCATTCAAGATGTCTTTGTATTAGGAATATATATTTATTTTTTGCAGAAAATTAAAAAAATTTTAGTAGTGAAAAATTGTAGATCATTTTAAACAGATTTTTCCTCCGATTTGTGACCTCTTTAAAGTCGGTTCTTACAAATGGAGAAAAGTAAAGAGCACTGGACATCACCATATTTGAACGAACTGGAAGATAACGTTGACCACTGCAGCTGGGTGTTTGAGTGATGTATTAATATCTCAGATAACAACTTAGATTCACCACTGTGATAACTTAAGTCTAATACAAATGACCAATCGGCTGCCAATCCAAACGTGGTGGTTACTCAAGTACTGTTTGCGTTAAGTAAGCAAACGTTTTATCTAGAGTCTAAATCCGTCCATTCCCTTTGACCAATGGCCATAATGCTATAATTTTCACGTATTTTCCGGGTCTGATAATGGATTCAGCAACAAGGCCTTTGTAAAATATTAACTTATTGAGAAGGTTGTTGTCCTGATATTACGATGGATACTTTAGATTCTATAGACCTGTCTTTATTAAAAATGCAATTACTCAATATGCGCAGATGTGTCATACAACCGTCGGCTGACGAATCGAACCCCGCTCTCTGAATGAGCCGTTTCAATTTGTTGTCGATAACAAATTGAGCGGATTGTCATCAAAAAACGATTCGTCACCTCGTCGCGTTGCGTTCTCCGACGGCAGTCGGGCGCAATTTGTTGCCGGCGTAAGCGACGTCATTACTTTCTAGATCTTATCGTCATCGTGCAATCGGACAATCACCAAATGTGTCCATTGTCAACAATTGTCGTGGTTGGAAACCGACTTTTGATTGGTTTGGAGGTCAACAAGCTCTTAACTATAGTTTCGTTATAGATAATTTAACCAAATTGTTTACTTTTTTCAACAGTTATGAAGTAAACATAACCAGGGAACAGTGTAATTTCACTGTTCCCTGATATAACAATGTAATTCTTCAGATATTCTTTTGATATCTGACTTCAAGAATGTTGTGGAGTCATTTCATTTGTAGTGGGAACCAAAATGCTAAGTCTCAATAATAATAGTTCGTGTCCTTCGGGCCTCGCCTCTTTGTGAAACTAAAATCAGTTTTCGAATTTTCGTTTGATTTAATGCATTTGTTACTGTCAGTATGTAATTAGTCTGTTATTTATTATTTTTGTTGTTAGAAACGTTACTGGAGTCGCTGCACAAAGCAGGACACGCACCACTTTAGTTCAAGAGAAAGACGCAGAACAAAGGTAAATAAACCAGCAAATTGCACAGTACTACAATGAAAAAAATAATAATGATTGTAGTATATCAATCAATCAGTATAAATTTACAAACCAGTTAGCCTATTTTGTAAACCAAACGACATCTATTCCCTTCCGATTTATGTAGTTTTAATATCACAATTTTGTGGTGCAATAACGTCAACCCGTAATGTCTAAAACCTTTTTTTTTTGTAATGGTTTATTTCGGCGTTAGGTAATGTCATCGGAATGATCTGATCAGCTCATTTGCATTTGTAAAATTTACATTTTAACGATTATTGCCTAAAGCCTGGTCTCCTTAAATCAGTGCAGTCGCGATTGTATGGAAACTCAGCTTTACGTATTTTGATACACTATCATAATAAATAAAAGGAATGTCATTGAGGTAGACCTAATGTGTCACTGCATGCATCTGATTAATTATTTCATTACAATTTCATACATAGGTCATTAGCACAAGCAGCCTACTACGATGAAGGGTTACGCATGCTTCACGAGCATCAACGTACATCACCTTCTTTGAACGACCTCGAAGACAACTACGGCCCAGAGATGTATGCGAAGAATTGCGAAAACTTTATCGGTACCGTTAAAGTTCCAACAGGGCTTGTGTCAATCAAGGTTAACGGGAAGCATGCCAATGGCATATACACTGTACCAATGGCAACTACTGAAGGTGCGCTGGTAGCTTCGTACAACAGGGGTACCAAGGTGATCAATGAAGCAGGGGGAGCAAACGTCGCGTTCATCCGTCAAAGGATAATCAGAGCCCCTGTTTTTGAGTTCAACACCGTGGAGGAAGCTACCATGTTCCAGGAGTTTTACGAACAGCCGGACACTTTTGTGCTGATAAAATCAATTGCGGAGAAGACCACTCGCCATGGCAAACTTCATAAAGTTCAGTGTAACGTGCACGGTACTACAGTACACACAAGAATGAGCTACTCAAGTGGAGATGCTTCTGGACAAAACATGGTTACGTTCGCTTCTGAGCCCGTCTGCAAATGGTTACACGCTAATGCACCAGTCACGCCAACGGCTTGGTACATCGATTGTGGACACTCATTGGACAAGAGATCTGGCACTGCAAATTTTCTTGATGGTCGTGGAGCATACGTCACTGGGGAGGTTGTCCTTCCGAGAGGTCTTATTGAAAAGAGGATGCATACATCTGGTAAAAATAAATATTGATAATCTGCGGCATAGAAATCTAGTCCTACCTAAATTACCAAAATGTAATTAAGCCTATTTGTGGTTTCGTAAAATCGACTTTAAAAATAGTTTTCACCGGCGTTTGGTAGGCCTATAGGGGCCTATATTTAGAGTCATCACCCACAATGATAATACCGATCTCCCTCTAATTAAAGACCCCTCCAATGAAAGACCACTTTTAGTGGTCCGAAATTAATAACAAATGTCTTTTATCTGTATTATTCTAATTAGAGACCATAGAAACCCCGGCCTGGTCCCTGTGGTCTCTAATTGGAGGGAGACCTGTAATTTAAAATGTTTATTGTTTCTCTTTACAGTTGAAATCATTCAACAATTGAATTGGCACCAGATTGACAATATATTCGCAGGATCACAAGGTAATTAATATTTGTATTTATATGATTTCCATATATTATAATGTGTAATATTACAATATGAAATCAGCTACACCTGTAAATTGAGCTGAACGTGGCTCTTCATGAACTGACGTACAATAGTCTGCTAGAGCAGCGCGCGCGTTACTACCACAAACTATCAATGCAATGAGTGCTGCTCATGAATCCAGCCCATTATCTTTATATACAATTAAATTTACCATGCTGTAAACGTGTAAGCTCAAATTTTGATAACTAATGTATTTGGCCCCATAGCTCTGAACTGCCAGAGTAGTAAATTGAGCTGAACGTGGCTCTTCATAAACTTATGTACAATATTCTGCTAGAGCAGCGCGCGCGTTACTACCACAAAGTATCAATGTAATGAGTGTGCTCATGAATTTCATAATCTTTATATACAATTAAATTTACCATGCTGTAAACGTGTAAGCTCACATTTTGATAACTAATGTATTTGGCCCCATAGCTCTGAACTGCCAGGCAGCTAATGCTCTAGCCGCAATATTCATCGCTACTGGACAGGATCCAGCGTGCGTTGCTGAGTCTCACCTTTCGTTTACGCAATTCAAGAAAACGACTGAAGGAGACCTGCAGATGATTTGCACGATACCATCTCTCATGATCGGCACCATAGGAGGCGGCACGTCCCTCCCTAGTCAAAAGGTAATTTCCAGGAGTTTAATTAGAAAATCTTTTAACAATAAGAGAGAAAATATTGATTCAATTTACTCGTGCACACCATAGATATGACTTCGATTATAATAGGGCATTTTTAAGTAGAAAGCTAGTGTCTATAAGGCCTTTTCGATACCCCTTTTTCTGTCGATATAATCTCTTTATTCATTAAAAAAAAAAAAAAAAAAAGCACACGAACAGGTACAATTGCTTATTAATTTAAATATTTGTAAAGAGGAAATTAAATATATGTAATTAATTTTGCAGACTTGTCTTGATATAATTGGTACTCATGGAATTGGAACGATGCCGACATTTGCTGAGGTGATCATGGGCGTCGTCATGGGAGGAGAACTATCGTTAATCTCAGCAATGGGGGCTCAGCATTTCGCTTACGCACACAAGAAACACGCACGGGGGCCTACTGCGTCCTCATAAACCACTTTTATCTCTGATGTCATCTTAGACGATTAGAAATTAACATTATTTTCAGACATATTAAATTACATACCGGGGGTTGACGTGACGTGACTCGGTTATGTCACTGATAAGGTTGCCGTACCAGACAGACGTAAACATCTCGTCAGTTAATCTACTAATTTTTAGGTCGTATAGGCCTATTAATAATGATAACGAACATATACTAATTTGGGCCTTTTTCAATGATTTATGCGCGCGTCAAATGCCATTTATGTACGTCGTTTGCTTTGCACACGCGTTACAATGCACAAATGGTGGTGCCCGTAGGCGGCCTATTATTCGTCGCTCATGATTCACTGAATATTTGCGTGTTCAATAAAAACACATTCCTAAATTTAATAAAAGCAATTTTCTGAATATAGTTTTAGAGATATCACTGAGAAATAGAATAACTGCTAAAATCACGTGAAAATACAGTGAATGAAGTTTAGTGCAAGATGTTTAAGCTCAATTATAAATTGGAGAACATTACATTTATTTTGAATATTACGAGATCAGAAAGCATATTAAGCCAGGTTTGTCTTTAAAGTATACCTTGCGATCGGCAACACGGAGAGGTTGCCAGATTATACTTAGTTAAGCAGCTTAGATGTACATATTGTAAATAGAAATATTCGAATGTTCAAGAAGAGAAACTATTTGTTCTGAAAAACGTAGTATATTGTTCCAATTAAATATAGTCTGATAAAGTCATGTTTTGTCGTTACTCTACTGCAGTGTAGTTGATTTAACATACTGGAGAAGCCTAACTGTGTCGGTGTCTGGTTGGTGTGCGTATGCAAATATTTAATATTCGAGACTAGGATGACGTCATTTGGTATATTATCACTTACAAGCAACACAGCCTGCAATGAAAACAGCAATGTCGGTAGCTTGATTTCTATTGAGGATGCGGATTACCAGTAAAATTGAACCTGAATTTAAACTTAAGTTGTAATAACATTTTACAGTAATAAACTTTAGCAAGCGTAGATTTAGACCACCATGAGCAGCTTAACCCAGTAGGCTAAAATGGTGATATGCATGCATCTTTATAATACAACCTTGGTCCCCGGTTCAATGTGATCGACCAACTGATGAAGGGCTGATGCAAGTTTCAAATTCGGTCCCGTGTACAATGGGAAAACTTAATAATATAATAATAATATTTAAGCATTTATATAGCGCTCTCTACCGGAGTCTCACAGCGCTTAAAAGTATGAACTATGGAAAAAGGTGAGTTTTAAGAAGAAATTTGAATTCAGAAAGAGTTGGAGCATAACGAATGGCGGTGGGAAGTTGGTTCCAGAGAAGAGGTGAAAATGCATAAAAACATTTGTCGACAGATGTTAAGTTTGTTTTATGTGTGTACAGTGAAGGATCAAGTTCAGAACGAAGGCCAGCACGTAAAGGAGTATATATAAAGTTTATAAGTTCCTGAAGGTAAGATGGAGCAGTATTGTGTAGGCAATTATAAGTCATAATTAGAATCTTGAAAATAACGCGTTTATGAACAGGTAACCAATGAAGCCGTGTGAGTAAGTGTGTGACATGGTAAAATTTCCTTGCTCGGAATATGAGTTTTGCCGCCTTGTTCTGAATAAGCTGCAGACGTTTTATTTCTTTCACCGGAAGAAGTAGGCCTCGAAATTTACTTTCTCACTTTAGTTTTTAAGTAGGCCTATGTTAGTTTGGTTGTAATGGTCACTGTAAACATGAATGCAGTATTGTAAGCGCCTGTGCACGTTTAAGAACGCAGTGCACGCCTAGGAAAAGTGTAAGGGATTTTCTCCCGGTGTACAGCCGAATTCACCACCAAGAGGACCCTACCGGAAAAAAGTCTTCGGACTCTCCGAAGAAATCCATGAGAACGATAGGGGGAGGAAGATCTCCTGACTCAATAGCCAATCTTAATATTTTTTGGCCGTTGAGGTCAGTCTTTATTGTTTTCCTTTTAATTCTTTCGCACATGCTGCTTGTGGGATGGTGTATCCAGTGGTGAACATGTGTTAAAAAATGGCCTTTTTTCAGGCTTTATTATATATTGAACACATGTAATTATTCGGAAACGAAGAAAAGATGCTGTTATTTGGTTGTAAGTTATTTAATATGAATAAAGAGAGCCAATGCTGCTACACTAGCCTAGGCCCTAGGCCTAGCCTAAGTAGGCCTAGCGTTTTTTTAGGAGCTACTGGCTAGGCCGTGGCTGCTGCATAGTCACCTACCTAGTCCTATGCTGCTTATTTTGTGCCTGGCCTTTGCTAGCTAGGCTAGCCTATATTACTGGTAGAGAGAGTCTGTAGACCACCGCAGTTGTCTTATTCTAGCCCCTGGACTGTGCTATGCTATGAACAGGTCCTATATGTTGTTATGATGATGTAAGGCCAATATTTCTACCACACACTGCTGCTGTAATAACTTAAAATAAGTATTTTATTTGCATTGGTTGGGGATAATTTGACTATAACTGCATATTAATTACAGTTATATTTTCATATACTGTAGTTAAAGGAAAGAGTTAATAGATCAATGAATAAGCCTGGAAGCAAGTCAACTTAGCCTTAAGTCAATTCGGCATCTAGTCATGAACTCATGCCCAAGTAGACGACTAACTTGGGGACCCATGTCAACGCCACTGCCCCAAGTCAACTCGACCCCAATTTTCTCAGTAGTTATGAAATAATTGTATAAATGATAGATTTGAAAGTAAACAGACTTCTTAAGTATAGTAAAATGCATTTCAGTAACCAAGTCTTCAAATATCCATATACAAACTTTTCTGTAACACCTTATATTAACACCTCCGTCGGGGACCTCGGCCACCCCACTCTGTCGGGCAAATCCGGGCACCACCCATTATATATAAATCATCAAAGAAAGGTAAATACAGTGTTCGTATAAAGGTCATGATAATATATCGTGTAGCATAGCTCTCAACAAATGTTGTCCTATAAATAAATGAATAAGGAAATTGTGTAATAAAATGCCTCTGACAGTGTTTGAACCTGCAACCTCTCGCTGTCCAGGCGAGCGTCATAAACATTAGACCACAGAGGCTTTATGGTTGAACAGATTCCAATAACCGCCAGATACACTGTATCACACAATAGGTGTGGCTAGAAACAAGTAGTTGCATATAATGTAAATCAAGATAGCCGTTAACACCGAGGAAGGACTATTGAACCTTATAATAATCACAGTCCCAAAAGAAACTATTATATTTCTTCAGTCTTGAAATTTGCCAATTTTTATCTGATAATTTCGGTTGGTAGTTTTGTTTTTATTTCATTTGACATGGCTTATAAAATTGCTGAATGACAGATTTTTATTTATCTAATGTTTCACTCTGTGTTCAGAACCTATACAAAGACAAACACAATGTTTGTGTATTTTGTATTTGTAGGCCTATACAGAATCCTATGTAGTATATACAATAGCTTATGTCTTTTTCCCCAGTGGGCACTCATCAGTTGACAGGAGGCGATCTGGTGCACAGGGTTTTGGAAGCAGCTCTTGCAGCCAACTACAGACTAATTGGTAAATATCACAGTGGATATTGTTCCGAGGTGTTGATTGGTGGAGCTCGCTCGACCTAACCTTAAACCTCACTCTTGCTATTTTTATGCACTATGGCATGTCAGAACAATATCTGTTCCCTTTAAATATTGTAATTACTGATCAAATATTACAATATATGTACCCTCAAAATGTTGTCAAAAGTGTAGAACTGTATCTGAAAACTATTTCAGTCTATTAATTATATATTTCATGTCATAAAATTTTATATAAATATGAAAATATTTAGACACATAACTACCATTTAACTATATAAGCCAATACAACTATATAGAAAATAATATTTAACTTAAATTGACAGACTTAGGCCTGTCAGCTCTGAACTTAAGGGACCCAAATATATAATATGTTAATATTTAAATATATTAAAATTTACTTTAATTAAATGTTTAAAAATTGAGAATACATGCTTATAATAAACATAAAATAAAGGACAATACAAAAGTATACACATAGATCTATTGCAATGTCAGAATAAAACAGTAGATAATAAAAGTAGAGTTACAGTCTAGGCTGTAAATTCCTTATTATGTTCATTGCTTGCCGTTGCTGCTGCTGTATATAAAAAGACATGGTGCAAAAGACGAGTTTGTACAAATAATGGAAGTGATTTGATTAAAAAAAACTGTTGCATGCCCATATATAGTCATAATGTGCCTATATATGGTCATGATGTGATGTCATCATGACCGTATTTAGGCATGGCACATATTTTTTTTAATAGTCTAGACAGGGCTTTAATGCAACAGTGTGACAAAAGAACTTAAAGATGTATTGTCCCATGCTAAATACCAAAGAAAATCATAAAAATATTTTTTGAAATTAACTTGCCCATTTTGAAGTAACATAAAAGTTATTAACTTGAACATAGAAATTAGTGTATTTAAAAAAATGTCTACCCATCAGTTTACAGCAAAAAATGATAGAAACACTTCCAGTCACTGGAAGTGTTTTATTATTTTTATTATAATTTTTTGGTTTAAAAATCAGGGTACACATTTTTTAAATGCAATAATTTTTATGCACAAGTTAATAATTTGTATGCTATTGAAATGGGCAAGTTAATTTCAAAATTATTTTTTATGATTTTTTGACATTAGCAAGGGACAATACATCTTTAACCACTTTACACTGTAAAGAATTTTTGTTTTATATAAACTGTACAAGTGGATCATAAACATGAAAATATATTAGCAATGTAATTAATTCCAAAATTAAATTTCTAATTTAACTTGGATTGACCAAGCCTATACTGTCATGTGATGTCAAAATATTTCTTTTTCTTCCAGACACTGCTTCAGTTTATCGTAATGAGACCGATATTGGCACCTCACTACAAAAGTTGTATCCTCAACTGAACCTAAACCGATCAGATATATTTATTACAACAAAACTAGGTAATTTGTTACTATTAAGTAATAATTAGAGATTCACAGTGGTTTACTATTAAATCTTGCTGTCAACCAAAATGAAAAACAATCTAAATTTATTAATTATTATTATAATCATTGTAATATAATAATAAGATATGAATTATAAAAAAAGCATACAGAGGTAAGCAATATACCTCTAAACGATAAGAATATATGAGTAATCTTTTTTAGTGTCTTTCCTTATAGGTTACAAAGATATAGTGCTCAAAACCAGTCTTTTAAATGCTATAGATTCCAATGTGCAAACCTTTCTCAAAGACTAAACCTCAACTAAACATGCTTCGATTAAGAAAATTCTAAAATAGTGTATAAAAAACAATAACATTAAACAAATATTATATTATTGCATGTAACATTGTACCACAAGGAAAAAGATTTATTCACATTGTTTAATAAACGTTTGACATTTCATTTTCAGGACCCAAAGATCAAGGCTACGACAAGGCCTACAGGGCGTGTCTCAAATCTATAGAGAAGCTGCAGTGCGAGTACTTAGACCTGTACCTAATTCACTGGCCTGGCAGGCAGAAGCTGAAGCATGATGATGAGCAGAATAGAAGCTACCGAAAGGAGAGTTGGAGGGCGATGGAGAGGCTCTACAAAGAAGGTAAGGTGTTGAGAAACAGACTTATTGCATGAGAGCTTTGAGGGAAAATGACATTGGTGATGACAGTTATTAGGGGAAGGATTGTTGCATATTCATAATAATAATAATGGCGCAGCAGCCAATTTAAAACAATTGCGCTGTCTATTTTACTGAAAATTATTATGAACTTAAACTATCATTTACACAAAATCGCACTGTGTGCTACAGTAAAAAGACGACAGGATAAAGGCCACTCAATCATGCCAGTGAAGGTGCAATATTTGTACTGGTTCCCAATGGTGAACAGTGACTTGTTCAGTCCATTCACGATCTCTGCTGTGGCTGTGTACCAAAGGTAAGCTTGGCACCCAGCCTAGCTAAAATCCTCGCTAAATCACTTCGACACAGACAGACCAGGGACTAACTACCAATTTTACCGTGGTTATTTCCCACACTTGTGCTACCAAGTCCTTGCAAATATACCCCGCAAATGCTGCAACTCCCCTATATTTTTCATACTTGTGCTACCATGTCCTCCAAAATATACCCGTAAATTCCGTACCTCCCTGTATAGAAATATTTAAGAGTAAGTCCCCCTGGGGTATTACTGTATTTTTTAAACCAAAGCCATTTAGCATGTTGAAATACAACTGGTTTCCTCGACACATCAGCACATACCGTTTATTTTGTGGATTATCTATGTTTAAAATGAATGAAGTAATTTGCAAGTGAAGCCTGTATAACATAACCACAAATTTGATCTCATTATATTAGTCTTGTTAAGACTCATCATTCAAGGTAATATTACCTTACCTTATCTACCTGCTTTGCGCCAAGTGGCGCATAAGGCCTTAACAGAATGCCTCATCTGCTCCTATTAGCTGCCACAGCTCTTGCTCTTCCCCACGATGTCCATCCTGCTTTGTTTCTTTCCTTTTCTGTTGTCCGCCGCCATGTTGTCTTAGGAATTCCTCTCTCTTTCCTTCAGGTGCCCAGGTCATAGCAATGTTGCAGTCATTTCCATGGTCCTGTCTTAGGATATAACCAATCCATTTCCAAGTTTCTGACTTCATAACTCACTGATCGCATCATTTTTTTTTTTGCCATTAATTCTTCATTTGTTATTTTATCTTCCCATCTTATTTTTAAAATTCTTCTCAGGCATTTATTTTGGAATATGTTAATTTGTCTTTCATCCATCTTTGTCATCTTCCACATTTAACAACTGCACAACAGCACTGGTTTTACGAGCTTCTTAAAAAGCTTTACCTTAGTTTTTCTGCTAATATTACTGCAATTCCATATTTGCTTGAGTTTGATAAATGATGTTCTTGCTTGCAAGGTAATATTAGTAGTGCATTAAATATTCTACATTTTACTACAATTGCATATTATTATTAGGGTGGCTATTTCAAGTATTATAATGTTTTAATCCATCTGTACCAAAAGTCTTTGACGCCATAATGAAATTAAAGATTGTATATGAGAAAGAAAAGTATGGTACTTTTAAAATATTGCCATAATTTTATATTACATTAAATGCTTGTCATACTAAAAGTGATATCAGAAATAAATAAAAATAGATTTATTAATTCTATTCTTTTTTTATTACTATACTATTACTAGGAAAAGTGAAAAGCATTGGTGTGTCAAATTATACCATTCGTCATCTGGAAGAACTTCTTTCTCATGCAGAAATACCACCGTCAGTCTTGCAAGTAAGTCACTCTGAAGCCAAATACACACTACGTCATATGCAGGTTGTATGCATGTTGGCCGAAAAATCCATGTTTGGTGGAGAAGATGGGGATTGAGAGTTTGTACACTGCAGAACAAACTCTTATTCCTTTTTTGCAAATTGTACAAGCTATAAAATCTCTTCAAAAATACTGTGCACTATAGTAACTTGCAGTTGAAAGACAAGCCTAGTAGCAATTGAATTGAACTAGGAGCCCATACTAAGGGGTCTGGGTGGTTTAGTGCACACAGTAACTACCACCTTTGTAGTTACTAAAGTTTCTTTCACAATTCTTATGTTCTATTTTTAAAATTGTGAATGTTGTAGATATCAGTATGAAATTCATATTATTCAATCAACTTTTATTTCAGGTATTACATCCATAAAATAAATAAAGTAAGCAGGTGTGCCGATGGAGCCATTGGCTTGAAAGTACAATTATCTATCAAACAAATATTAAACAATTTAAACTTGATTTTGATGTACTGTAGACAAGAAATTATTTTTCAGGATTTATTTTTTTATCTTTGTTAGCCAAAATATCAATTGTTTTTCAAGTGCAGATTGGTTTGTATTTGTAAATATTTAGCATTTATTAAATCTTCGCAGGTGGAGTTTCATCCATATTATCGTCAACAAGAACTGTTAGATTGGTGCAAAGAGCACAACATCAGGATGCAAGCCTACACTTCACTTGGGAAAGGAAAGGTAAGCAAGTTCAAGGGAAAGCTTAAGGTAAACAGACTTTCAAGCCAGCAGGGTATTCCAACTGTGGCACTTGTGGGACTTTAGCAACTTCAAAAAGAAAAGGTTGTTAACCAGCTGTATATAATAAAATGGTTCATTTCATCTTGTAAATAGCAAATTACTAGTGTTTTGTGAGATTTAAGTATAACAACAATTAGAAAGTTCATAATAATGATAATAATATCATATGTTAAATGTTATATAGCGCTTAAAAGCAACAAGGCCTCTAAGCGCTTCACATTACTACCCCCGGTCATTGGATTAAACACCTATGAACACAAACTCAAGTTCCCTGAGGGAGTGTTCCATAAAGTCGAAGCAGCTACATCAGCGCATTTTGGCATTTAACCATACCAGGTACCCATTTATACATCTCGGTGGAGAAATGCAAAGCAGATAAAGTTACAATGATAATATAGTTGTTGTTCTGTTTTATTGTGGATGTAGCTGTTACTGGATCCAGTTGTCATTCAGATAGCAAAAAAGCACGGGAAGAAACCAAGTCAAGTTCTCCTGAAGTGGGCAGTCCAACAAGGAATAGGTTCGTAATTATATCTAAATTTTATATTAACAGCTCCAATTTATACCTTTTGAATTTTACAAACTTTTTAACTTTTTACATTTAGTCAAAATGGATTTGAAGAAAGGTGCCTGGTTTTTATATAAAGACCCTTTCACTATGTTGTTTTGTGCACATTTTCCTAGGTTAAAATATACATGTGATTATAAAAATCTTTCGAGCTTTTCCAATGTTTCAGGATCACTTGTTATATTCAGATATTTGATTCTCCTCTTTAATTGAACTTTATTTAGTTAGCTTTTTCTTTGAAGTAGACTGGTATACTGTTTTTGTAGGAGAGGGTAAAGTGGGCTTTTTCTAAGTGGTATCAATATTCATTCAGTCTTTGTTCACTGTTTTAAGTTTTTTGGGGTTTTTTTTTTTTTTTTTTTTCAGGTGTGATTCCAAAGTCCACCAACCCAGAACACATTCAAGATAATTCTGCAATATTTGACTTTGAACTCTGTTCCCAAGACATGGACATGCTCAACGGTCTTCATAGCAACACTAAATATTGCTGGGATCCTTCTGACATTGCCTGATAAATAAATATTTGTAAGTTACAAGACATGTATTATGCGTAATGTTCATAGAACACAGTACAGTATATAAAGTTTTTTGATAGAACACAATATATGAAACTAGGGAGCACATCAAGGTTACATTGGAAGCAGTTTGTTATTAACAAAGCAAAAATCTTTATATACAGACAAATTTTAATGAAATACTTCCAACGTACACATCAAGTGTATGTGTGTATCTGGTTCTCATACACCTAAACTTTAAATTCTAACATCTCTGGATCTATTTATCCTAGGGAAGCCATTCAAAGACCAAATTAAAGCTTATAATGTGATCTACCAAAATGTAATATTAACTCATTTTTTATTTTCTAACGATGAGACCATTACCAAAGTCAAGAAGAACATAGCTTCAGTAATTTTCCTTCAGGAGGCTAATTAATTTAAGTAATCAAGTGTTTCAATGTACCCTGGTCTAGGGGCACATAGAAACGGTAATCAGTGTGCTTAAACATGGATAAAAACTATAATAATGCTAGCAGATCATTGGTTTTTCTTGAAAAAATTAATTTATTCATACAGTTTAATATAAAGTGTTGATACTATCAGGTGTAAACATTTTTTTTTATAGAATTACAGCCTTGAAATCTGAATTGTTTTTTATAGATGATTTGTAATTATAACACTAATGTTTTTCTGCTATTGAATGGTAACACTATTCACATTTCATCATCATCGCTATCACGTACAGTATGTGACAAATATAATTTTTGTCCCCATCTGTGCAGTCCAAATGAGCCCACTTGGTACACAAAGTGCAACAAAACCACTCCAAGCGTTTCTTCTTTGCTTTTGGTTCACTTGATTTTGCGCTTTTCTTTTTTCCTACCTTCTTCATCTCCCTTTCTTGTTTTCTATGCTGTTCTTCCAATTTATCTTTTCTGGTGTATCTGTTAATACCGCAGTTTTCATAGGTTTCCTTCTCCTTTCTGCGCTTTCTTTGGGGGTTCCTTTGGCAAAGGCCTAACCGCAACATGCAAAATATCAAGCCGACAAGAATTCTCTACAGTTTCTTCTTCCTGGCTTACACTGGGGCTAATACCTGGAGCTGAATTTTCATTTGTGCTTGCTGCAGTTGGTGCTACTGTTGAATTACTACAAGAGGCAGAAGTGCTTGGATTAGATGAAACAATTGTGCTTGCTATTAAGGTGCGACGACCTGGTGTGTCACATACTCAAGTCTGCTGTCGAGGTTGAACATCAATGTTCGGGCCAGTTGAGGCAGTGGTATCCTGAGATACCCTTGGACATTCTCTGTCTGTAGTGTCTGCTGGTGCGAATTCATGTTCCTCGAAGATGTGGCATAATGCCACATTTCCAAAAAGCATTTATAATGTTCGCTGGTGTTGTTGCTCTTGGCAATGCCTCTCTGCAAAGACCAGGAATATCATATATGCTGATTGTCTGGCCGGGATGGTTTCGCATTCATTTATCTTGCTCAGCATTTATGTATTTCTTCAATGCCCCATACACCCCTCTGCCTAATGGCTGTAGTTTATGTGATGTGTGAGGTGGGAACGACAGCATCACGACACCATTATCCTTAGCCAGATTCCAGACAGTAACTGACATATGGGACTGATGATAGTCTAACAATACAAAACAGGTCGTTCTTTACTTGGACGAACAACCTTAATAAAATGTGAGGTCGCACCACGAAATGAGACGCATTGTTGGTGAAATCATATTGAGATATTCACCAAAATAGGTCAATGGCAACATTTTTACAAAATTTTGATTTTAATGTTTTTGAATAACTTGATACTTATATTTTATGATTGTTTACTTTTTAAGTAAATTTTCTTATTAAAACAGTGTTCTCTTCGCATATACTGTAATTCTAGTCCTATTATTTGTACAGGTTAGTTTATCTTTGAGGCCGATTTTCTCAAAACCTGGTTCTCATACACCTAAACTTTAAATTCTAACATCTCTGGATCTATTTATCCTAGGGAAGCCATTCAAAGACCAAATTAAAGCTTATAATGTGATCTACCAAAATGTAATATTAACTCATTTTTTATTTTCTAACGATGAGACTCATTTTGTAGTGAGACCTCACAAATGTTCCATGAAAACCAGGAAGTCACTTTCAGTCATCCATCCCGACAAATTGGCTGTACCGACACATCTGATTGGACCATTACGGATGAAATGAGGCTTAAAATGAACTCTGGGAAAAATAAACATAGAAGGAACTGCATTCCCTGTGGCGCTTACCACCTCACACATCGTAACAAGGGTACCGCGTTCACCAGAGGTTATCGATCCCACTTGTTTGAGGCCTTTCTGGGCTACAACTTTTCCACCTTTCTGAACAGTAATGACACTGGTTTTGTCGACATTTCAAATATCTGACGCTTGAAAATAGTACATGTCTATAACATCAGCAAGCGTGTCAAAAAACATATTTACATTGAACTGGTCAAAGCTTTGTAGCTCTTGCTAGGCTGGTTGCCTCTGCTGTCCTCACACTTATGTCTCTTTTTCTCTTCATGAAACCAGAAAATCAGTCAGGGCCAGCCATTTTCTTCTCTTGCCAGGGTTCTGGTATAACTAACTTAAAGGCTTCAGCATATTCAAATGCAAATTTCTTTACTTCAGTGGTTGATAGCCCAAAAAATATAGCAACTGTCTTTCTTGTTCCTCTGTGAACTCTTGGCTGGGCTTAGCATATCTAACATTTGTTTTTTCTAGGGCTTGCCACACCTCCTCTGCCTTACTCATGGGTCCAGCTACAAAAAAAAATAGGAAACAAAAAATATTTGTTTTCAAATATTATTATTATTATTATTATACTATTATTATTGTTACTATTATTATTATTGTTATTATTGTAGTCATTCTTCAGTCACTGTATGAAAGCAATAATTAAATAATCAATATTAATACATTAAATAATAATTATGGATATAACACTGATAAAATATTTTTAATAATAAAGCCACATTAACCTACCAGTATTAAACCTTTTTCACCAAACGACTCAAAGTTACATGAATAATGCCATCAAAATCAGCTACTTCAGACCTCACAGAACTCTTTAAAGAACTCTGCCCTGTCAAGAAATAACCTCTCAACTGCATATAGCAAAGTTTTGAGATAATCAACAAAACGTGTTATTGTGTTAGCTCTTCCCATGTATAGATAACAGGATTATGATTTCCACACCTTTTAGTAGATTGTATAACTACTATATATTGTGTAAAATGTTTTATTAAAATTTCTCAATATAATATTAAATATGTCAGATTTAATGTTTTTTTCATGACATTCTGGGTCAACTACATGTAAGAAAATCACGAAAGACTCAACTCAACTGCATTTGTCATGGAAGAATCCACTCAACTACAAAATTTATTCAAAAGGTACTAAATTAACGTAAACATATATACAAAACACTTTATATAACTTCATATTCTTGATCATGAGACTTTAGTTGATATAATCTTAAACTTTGTGGTATTTTTTTATAGCTAGGCCCCCCTAGGTCATTTTTTTTTTCTACACACGTATCCATATAGAATAGCAGTGCGAGACGTACCCAGTAATGCTTTGCGCGAAGCACCCCCTATTGTCAAAAATTCTCTAAATTTGTTTACGTTTGAAAAACCGTTACTTCCACCTACCTTCCCCAAATTGGTACGGCCCAAGCAGATGTAAAACAAGTCATAGGTGGTGCCTAGGCTTCCTCATAAATTTAATTATTTATTAATATATTTTTATTCACGAAAAATACAACATTAGCATAATTATTTTAAAAATAATACTTAATAGTATATAGTGAGTATTTTTTGGGAAAAATCGGGAAAAAAAGTGCAATAATTATAATTTTAAATTTTTATTATCTAAAAGTTTTTTGGTTATGGGTCATGGTATTATTGGAAATAGGGTAGGATAAACTATGAAATGGAGACGGTCATAGCTGGGAAATAATTCATAGGTTGCTGCTTTAGCCTCTTGAAAAAGGATGATTTCATCATAAAAGATGGGGATTTAAACCAGGGAAAACATGGTTTTACCGTGATTTTACCGAACATATTGTGTTATTGTCGCCATCAAAATTATCTATGAAGACAAGATGGTATCTAAACACATTTAAACCAATGTTTATTTTGTATGTTATGCCTTGATCGAACAATGAACACGAGGATAATCCCATGTGCTTGGGTTGACAATGCTGGTTTTCTTGTCTACATACAATATTGGTGAGTATATTTTCACTTTAGTTTTGGATACTTTGTATTTTAACTTTGTATATAAATTTGAATAACCTAAATATAATTTAATTTGAGTTTTAAGTGAAGAATTCTAATTTACAATTATTTGTGATTAATTGATTTCCCCATAAAAGAGGAATGGAATAGGCCCACGCAATGCGTGGATGTGCGTTTTGTGTTGTACTATTTTTATAATAGGGGAGTTTAGTTAAATAATTGAATTTGTATACTGTAGTAGTAATAACTTTGTTTCCATTTGCAGTATTGTAATTTGTATCATGTCACTTTTTTACAGCATTCAATATAATTCAGTTACATACAGTAATAATTGTATTCAGGAATTCATTCAATTATTATTAAACTAAAAATGCTGAAAATTATTCCTTATGACACCATTCAATGATTCAGTAAGCAAGTTTATTTGGATTTTTTTTTTATTCAAGCCAGATTCAAGACTGAAAAGTCATTTTATTTTGTCATACATAAGTTATTAAGAATAAATTTTATTTCATACATAAGTGTACATATTATAATTTCCTGAGACTTAATTAATATAAAATAATAGCAACACACATAGACAACTGATTATAAGTCAATCGTGTTGTCATCATTGCAACTTCCCACTGTTATCTGCCTATCCCCCACAGTCCACTCATTTTTTAATTAGTGGACACTTAGCTTGATTTTTTTTAGGTGCATGTGCAAAGAAAAATAAATTCTCATTTGTAAAAGGGCTCCAACCCACAGACTAGTGATTAACAAGCTTAGGTCTAATTAGAACCCTAAGAAAAATTACTTAAAATTCACTAGTATGAACAATTAAGGAATTCATTCAGTCGATGGACCCTCATAGACAAAACAAACTTCATGCTTCATAGGAATATTCTAGACCTATTTTAAAGACTCAAGGAACAAAGGTAGATGTAAGCCTACGGCCAGGCATGCACTGACCAAAATCAGTGACTGTTTTCTCCCTCGAATACTGAAATGTTTATTTTTTTGACAAATGTCTATCAAAATAGCATTACAAACAAGTTCTTTCTAACACAATGCAAATTATAAGAGTTATTCATCGTATCCGTACTGTACTGCTGATGTGTAGTTAACATGTACAGCAGGAGCACAAATCAGCATACGCACAGCTAAATATAAATACGCACAGAGTATACTGATCATATCACTATAGCAACCGATGACTGCTACAATACAATATATATTATTTTTATTATAATATTGAAAAATTTTATTTCATGCACATTTTATTCATTTATACTGTACAATTTCTCTATTCTTCATTTGACCTTGATTTTATTTCTGGTCTTGCCCGTAGGGTAAGTGGGCTACAGGAAACCCAGTGACTCTTCATGACAGAGAAAAGCAGCACATCTAGATGTGTATAAGAGACATATTGCTGTCTGCTTCATTAAATTTTTTGAGGTCTTGTTTGATTGTGGCTAGTGTCCTCTCTTCACCATCTTGTGTCTTGGTTGCCAAGCAATAAAGGCAAAAGTGACGACCTACAGTCAAATTAGAAAATAACATGAAGACAGTGTTATAAAAGATGATATATAATTTATTAAATGCATTCATGCAATAAATGATGTTTTAATAACAGTTAATAAAAATGTGTTATCTGCATGATGACTCCAAAATATACAATCAACTAGCATACAGGTAATATCAAATATTATGGAATAATGCTGTCAAAAATTTGACATGGGAGAATGTACAATATCCAATTATTTAAGAAACACTTTTCATGGATTTGACTTATTTTAAAGTGCAGTACTGACCACTTGCTCCTGATAATCCGTAAATACGACATTCGTATTCATAGTCTCCAAACGCAAACAGGTGCATTTCTTTCCCACTGAAAAAGAGTATCATAACGTGTTAAATCAAGTAAATTAACTTAATTTACAGGTACTTAGTTTAATCACCATGTTTAAAATTATTTGATCAAATTAAATTGCAATTTTATTGCAGTAATTTATACCTACTTCCAAATCATCGATTTGAGGTCTTCTACCTGTTGCTTTATCCTCGCTATACCGGTTTTCAAATTGTACGTGCAGTCACCCGCTTCCCAAATAAATATAGTGACTGTATTCTGCAAAGAGTTCGGATGCTCAACCTTTCCAATCTGGACCATAAATTTGAATGTCCCTCCACCTTTGTCTCCACCTAGCTTTAGCTATATTTGGTTATCTGGAATTAATCCATTATGCCAGGTGAGTAAATCAAGGCTGAAAAATAAACAAAACAAGTTGTTAATTAGAATAAAACCATTAAATATTTTTGGAAGAGTTAAACTGTAGACTTTCGATATTTACCTGTCTAGTTCGTCTAGCATTTCCCGAACTTTTAACAACTACAAGTGGGACATTAGTCAATAGCATTTCTTCTGTTTTCTCGTCCTTTACCAAAAGGGGGAGATATTCTTTTAGCAAGTTGTCATTGATTACTCGGCTCTCCTGTCTGTGGATGCTGGCCTCACTCTTGCATTGTATCTGATATTTTGCTAACCATCTAGTAGAATCAAAATATAAAACTGGATGAATATAAAATTCTGTAATGTATCGCTGAGCAAATTTTTTTTGAAGCGCTTATGTTCACTTGCTTACCTTTTCAATACTCTCGTTCTTGTTCTACTCAGACCCAAATGTGCAAGATGTCACCATGTGGCATCCGAAAGGGGGTACGAAGTATGTCCTTTAGTTCGCATTGCAGACCCGAAATTTCATGGTGATATTGCTCATTGGTTGCTTCTTCGGATCCGCTAATCATCGAACGGAATTTCTTGACCTGAGAAGGAAAAAAAAAAACCAATATTTTATGGAAATTTAAAAAATTAACTTATACTGCATAAAATATATAACAGAAAAAAAAAATGTTATTTACTTGATTTGTTCTTTTGTCTTTAGTTTTTTTCGATGCTGCATCTGATTCTACTCTCACATTTGGAATTTTTAAATATCTGATTGTCTGAAAGAAGGAATTTAATTTATAAAATTATAAAACTTCCATATTATAAAAATTAAGTACTATAGTGTTAAGCCGGGCACTCACTGCGTCATATGACCGTCGCACGACAAATCCAACTCCACTACGTGGATTGTCGGTAGCAGTCTGAACGGATCGTCACTAAAAATGATCCATTGTGCGCACGTCGTCGCGTTGCGTTCTTCATAGAATCACATCTGCCGACGACCATCAAGCACAGTGAGTGCCCGATCTTACATTTGCTTCTTTTAATTCCATTTGCTTTTGCTTCGTGGAAACATGAAAGAAGTTACATCACCTTTCCCCTGATGTAAATGTCACCACCCCATCTTTTGATTTCCTCGATTTTTGTTGCATGAGATGGTGACCTAAATTTTCCATCTCACTTGTGATAGGAGCATCCAGAGGCTGTTGAAGGATGACTTGAACGGAATCGTTGGTATGTTGTTTAGCATAAGTGTGTTCTTGTTGTAAGACACATACATGTGTGTTACATTGTTGACATTGCAACTGACATTGACACGTATTACATTTTACAATAACTGACATGTAACATTGTACAAACAGATCAGGTACAGCAGTGACAGACTCGTAATGTGATTCAACTGAACAAGACGGACACGACATTACATCATTTATCTACAAAAAATGACTGAACACACGCTTTGCAAGCAACATGGTGACACAGTAACTCAACAGGACATACACACACTTCATTACAAACACAACACATGAATGGACTCAAAGAACCAATGATGGTGTAGGAATCTGGAATGTTCATAAGCATGGTATCAAGGTATCAATTGAGGAGAAATGTGTGGCAACTGATGATGTATGTGCCATCCTTCTCTTGCACTCTGGTGCTCCTAAACTTCTCTTCATTTTTTATGTGCCATCCTTCTCTTGCACTCTGGTGCTCCTAAACTTCTCTTCATTTTTTTTGGCCGCCCACCTATGTGAAAACAATATTCAAACATCATTATTAATTAAAATTTACCAAGGTATAAACATTATTAAATAAAAATGCAAAGGAATGTTTGAACTTGTAATTGTGTGCCAATTTAGTATTAAAAAACTATATATTTTTTCATTGTAAAATTATTTCAACAATATCTATGGTATATATCATGCACAGAGGATTACAAATGTTTCATTAATATTTTGTTGATAAGCTATTTAAATAATTTATTAATATTTTTTAATATTTTTTAATTATTTAAAATGAAAAAAAAAAAAATATGACAACCTTTTTTAAATATGTCATTGCAAACCTCGCACGTTCCGACTCCCCTATGTGCAGGCCATTCCTTCAGTTGAACATTTTTTTTCTGGACTACAAGCTTAATGTAGCAGAGATTACAGAATGATTGAGGATACTGTTTAAATCACTGTCTCTGCTAACACCAAGTTGTAGCCAGTATTTGTTCACATCTTTACTCCTTCCACCATCTTTGTTAAGTTTCGTGCCACACAATCTACAGAGTGTTGATAAAACATTTTTATGTTTTTCCATAAATCTGTAAAACAAATATAATAATAATAATAATAATAATAATAATAATATATTTATTTATTGTGTTGTTAAGTTGATAACTATTTTGTAGTATGACAAAAATGTCATGAAATTATGGTATTTGAGCTCAAGTTTGTTTTTTGTTATATTTTATACTAGCCTGGCCTATTATTACTTTATTTTTATTATTATTATTATTGATTTTATTATTATTATTATATTGTACTGGAATCTAGAAATGCAATAAAAGACATAATTTTATAAGAATACTATTTAAAACTGTTGCTGAAGCTGCTAAGTTGCCTAACATGGCCTATGTGCAAAATTCTATATTTTAATGGACCCAAATAATTGGATAAAATAACCTTCAATAATACTTTAAAACTAATTATTTCCCGTGTCTAACTTGGTCATTTCAACTGAAGAGTAATAAAAATTCAATATAAAAAACTGTTTTCATTACAAAAAACTCTGTCTAAAATATTATAAGCTAATTACTCATCATTAATTATCAATTAGCCAATAAGGAATACAGGACTGTGCTATGTAATTTAAATGGTAAATACTACAATATATTTTATGATTAGAGGAGAATATAAAAAAAGAATTTAACTGTGAATAAGAAATAATTACATATTTTAAAAGTACATATGATACTTATTAATTTTTTGACCTGTTTGCGCATATACTCTGTATTGTATATTATATTATTCTGTGTTAACAATCGATCTGCCACTGCATCTGTTGGGATATTATTCCAGAATGCTGTCTGTTTTCTGGCATTAAATTTAACAAGTGATATTTTTTATAGCTAGGCCCCCTAGGTCATTTTTTTCCAACACTGTACAAGGCGTTCAAACCCAATTTAACTGCATGTGCCTGTTCGGCTAGGTGTGAGCTAGGCCTAGTCTAGGCTAGTTGTGGTTAGCCAATAAGGAATACAGGACTGTACCATGTAATTTAAATGGTAAATACTACAATATATTTTATGATTAGAGGAGAATATGAAAAAGTATTTAACTGTGAATAGGAAATAATGACATATTTTAAAAGTATGATACTAATTAATTTTTTTACTTGTTTTGTGCCTTCTGTATCGTATATCATATTATTCTATGTTAACAATCAGATCTGCAACTGCGTCTGTTGGGATATTGTTCCAGAAAGTTTGTCTGTTCACTGGCATTAATTTAACAAGGTTTTGCACAATGCCGTCTTTTTTGTCTTGAGCAATTCCTCTTGGTACTTGCCTTTGATCAAATTTCTTCTTGTTTAGTATGTTTTCTATTGCTTTCTTTTTCAAAAATTCACCATGCTTATACTCTGTGTCAAGATGAGATTCTTTCCACTTGATTGCAGTTTCTCCCCTCGTGAATAGTACTTCTTTTACATTTGCTAGTTTTGGCTTGTTGGTGTACGCAACAGTGCTTATGCAGTGTTCGTAATTATTAAAATCGCTATACTTCATTGGTGCTGCTCGTCCACATGCATTGATCACAGACTCAAAGTCTGTAGAGTCAAACACTTTACCACGCCGCTTCATTTCCTTCTCTACCTTGGCATGAAAGCTGTCACAGCTCATGAATGTATGCCCGGATTCCAAATATTTTAAACTTATCTGCTGTAGAGCTTTTGTGTTGTTCACCGTAGCAACCAGTGCTGTGTATAAAGTCCAGTTTTTATTTTGTGCTCCACAGTTGTCAACCCATATAACAACTTTTCCTTTGTCTCGAATATCAGAAGATTCTAAAAATTTAAATGTAGCTACTTGCCACATCACTTGCACTCCTGCCGCTGTCACTTCCATTCCAGATTACACCAACTGGTTTGAGTGTGTCTCTCTGTTTCTTACCCAACGGAGCAAAGGTCTCATGAAACTGCACCAGCCTCCTTGTAAAAACACATGTCTTGATGCTTTCCATCCTTGGGAGCATGATAACTTTTTCCATATGGGCTGATACTACAACTTCGTCATCTAACAATCGCCTTTCCTTGTCCTGGTATTTCTTTCTGGCAATACTAGCCCTTTCCAAATGTGCTTCATGGTCCATAGTAAAATGTTATACTTATTACTACGGGTGACTTAAGATGTATATAATAGCATAACTCACCTAAATCGCCACTGGCTCGTAGTCCAGGTGAAAGTTTCTTCAGTAGATACGGTTTGTAGAATTCAGGTTATGTTATCAGTGCTATCGTCAAATCTCAAGTGACACTTACCCTTCAGTCTATGGTTGGGATGGTGACGTCATCCCAGGGCGCAACGTCGTAGGTCATGACCGCCCTTACACATGGGATCATGTGATCTCCAGAGTCTATTGATCAGGTGACTCCCAGCTGACCGGCACTACACTGTCCATACGGTCTCTACAATCTTAGTTGTCGGTCTTGTGATTGGCCTTGTGCTCACATACTTCACATTCCTTTACCGAGTCCTTTACCATTGTACGGTAACTCTGGTATTTACAAATACCTGGATTTGTTAACGCAAAGTCCTCATACATCATAGTAATGTTTATATCTGGAGGTAAGTACAGTCGGTTAGGGCATGTTCCCTTCTGTAATGTGCAATGCATGGATGGTACGACATAATATGTTTCTTCATTTTCTCTTTTTTTCATCGGACAGCTTATGGGCATGGTTCCCATGTCGACCCCGTCAGTCCTTAGGCGCAAACATTCCAATTCCTGTTCCATCGATTATTTTAAACAGCCATGTTATTACATTATTGCTTGACGCTTTGAAGCTTAATGTGGTCAGAAAGAAAGTGCAGCATACTTGGATCATTTCATTTTCGTCGGTGATCATTGAATATTTAAATGTGTGTTTGCGGGGATTGACGACATTGTGATCTTTTCATTTCGGTACAGATGCCTCAGTATGGCTTAACAACCATACCCTTTGTTGTTCCAATGACATCCACCAATATTCACTGTTTATGGCATCCCTCTGATCGTTGCTAATTTTTTTTGTGCATCATCACCTATCAGGGTGAGAAACGTTGCTGTCTTGTGGGCTTTGGATTTTTTGTCCTTCCCTGTCCCCGTCATATACAGTTCAAATCTTTGGATAAACAATCTGTAGTTTTCAGCTGGGTTTCCTTCAAGAGATAAGCCCTTTGGTGGATCTATTTTGTTCATCTTGGCTTCAATTTATCCCTTTTCTGACACCATGTGAAATGAGTACGTCAATCAACAACCATTTTGTGTAACAAACTGTTTTATTCAAAACCAACTATAGATGGCGCCATGACCAAATGCCAATACTTCATAACAATAATTCATAACAATACTTCACAGTCAGCAGTTACAGTAGGTACTTGTATACCATGGTGGAATTAGTTTCTCCCCTTCCTCCATGGGTATACTTATACAGTACATGCTTTCTTTGACAAATTTAGGGTTAAGCTACGTTCAAATCAAAGCCCGGTCCAGTGCCTGGACAAAAACTTGCGAAAGATAGGTTCAGTGGTAAAGAATAGGACCGTTCACATCAAATTCGTACAATTTCCAATCCGGACTCCGGATCTGGAACGATGGATGTGAGAGCCATTTGTATAGTGAAATCATACATTTTTTTTCCTTGGACCAATCAGCAACAAGCTTGGTTGGTTCGGACTAATCAAACGCATACGGTCTTAACCCGAATAATCGTGTTCCGTGCGCGATGTGAACGCAGCGTTCAAAAAACGTAAAACAACTCACAATTTTTTGTCCAGACTCCGGACCGGATCAGGGCTTGATGTGAATGTAGCTTTAGAGCCTGCATGCTTTCCCAGATTGCCTACCAATGAAACACTGCTAATGATGTTGCCTAGTTTTTGCAAGTATGTGTTTCTGAATCAATGCAGCTTTCTGAGCAGTGATGCTACAGAGTGCAGCTGTGTTAGTTGAGCATTCTACCATGAACTCAAAGAAAGGATATAAACCTTACATCTAAATTGGGGGGGGGGGGTTACATCTTTTTCAGCAGATGCTAACACTGTTCTTGATCTTTAAACTTAACATATTTTGTTAAATTTCCATGGTATGAGTATGTTAACACTTTCCATACTATGTAAACATGATAAAAAAGTAGTGTAATATTAATCATTTTATTTATAAATGTATAAATACATAAAATTTCATCCAATGAGTAAAATTTGTAAATGTATTATTTTTATGCTGATAAAATTATCAATGTACAATAATATCATTTTATTCATTCATATATGTATGTTCATTCAAAAGTATATAAATTTTAAACATTTTATATTTTAAGCTCATAAAAAAATGTTAGGTCAGTATATAAATTCAGTGTAAAATTCAGTATTCAGTTTAATACATTGTATGCATCCAGATACTTTTAAACTATTCGGCGATACGAATTTGCCATTAGGGTGCTACGGTATTCTTTGCTCTGCTGTTCGTCCAATATGTCATCGCTGTCACATTTTCTGTCAAATTAATTGAAATAGTAAAAATTATTATTAATAAAAAATATTTTTATATGTGTCCATGTTGATTTAACTGTATTTTGTAGTATATATATAGTTTAAAATATTATATAATATATTTTGTCACACTACAAGCTAACACAAAATAATATGTATGCATTAGTTCATGAGAAATTCAAACATTGTTCGCACCAAGGTTCTTAAGCACTTTTTGTGTAGTAAAGGATACAAAAGACCTTGACAACAAAGTTGTGCAATGCAAAATAAAAATTCACAAACTAACAAACTGTTTTGTGTTCAGTTTGTGAGTGACGATTTAATATTTATATAAATGTCCATTAATATACTGTTAACTATTTTATTATTTAGTACATTCACTATTGTCATTGTTTTATTCACAAAGTAATGATACATACATTTTGGTAAATAATATGTGTTGATATCTAGTAATGTATGTTGAGTGTTTATTCTTGCTCACTGTATTGTTTATCTGCATAATGGCAAAGAACTTAAATAGCAGAAGAATGAGCTGTTCCGCGTATTTGCATTAAAATTTATAGAACATCCGCCCTCCCGCGAGGGGGGTAAAATTTGACCATTTGACTAAGTGGAGAAACTACAGGAAACAAACCAGCATCTTTACCACTGTATTGACTGGGTAAAATTGCTCTCCGTGTACCCACGTTATGCATTTCGAACGGATGTTCCACTATATTGGGAAGCTGCTCTATCTTCTGCTATTTATTATCTTTAATAATGGTTTTTATAATGATATTAATTATATACAAATTAAGTATAGTGTTCTTTTATACGTATTTCTTTTAAGTATTGATTTACATCAAAACTGTGTCATACTGGATAATGATGATTCTATTAATTGGGTAACTCTGAATAAAAAATTAGCTAAGGCATGTATATAATGTAGATATTTGTTATTTTAGTGTGTGACATAATTTGGAAAGACCATTAAAAATACATGTTTCAACTTCTGTTAAGATAGAAAGTTATTGCTAATTTACAGGCTGTTACCATTCTTAAATTAATTACCATCCAATTGATGGCCTATGAAAATAATATATAGGAGCAGCAATATGCATTATGTTTTGGTAAATAAAATATTTTATTTTTCTAAGTTTTTAATGAAAGCTAAAATCTTACTACAAGGTAAGCAATTAAAATGTTTAATTTTCTTCAAGATAGTTAGTACAATGTTGCCTTAAAATATGTTTTTTTTTAAATACATTTAATTGGATGGTTCCTTGATTGAATCTGTAGTTTAGTGACAGATTATTTCTCCATGATTGAATTAAAAGTAGATAGAAACTCACAGTGACTCATTGGTGTCGTCTGTACTCTCGTCATCTGTGTGCTGGATTTGGTTTTCTGATTGGTCATCAGCCCCCTTGAAAATAAAAAAAATAATAAAAATGCCAATTACAAAACATTTTCAAGTAGCTTTCGATTGAGAACATAGAACAGGGGATACGGGGATATGTCACAAACGCAAAGACTGACACACCAATGTTTAATAGAGTACAGTCCTCAATGTGGCCTGAACGTACGCTCAGCTGACAACCGTTTTCAGGAGAAAAGTAACATACAACGTCCAGGCATGCGCAGTTAAATTAACATGTCATTACGTTCTACTTCTTTGCAGATCAAAAGCTCCCTATTGTGTGTGTGTTTAAGCCTCCGTCAAGTTATACAAATGTGTGCATGTTCTGCTGATCTGACAGTCTTTGTAAAGTAATTAGATGGAGAAACAAAACTCATCCTTTTTTGAAAAAAAAAAACAAAAAACAAAATGAACTAGAAAGAAGAATTAACTGCTGCAACTTAAAAGTATTGACATTTTTAATTATACAAGATACAAGATATATACTTCCATTGCATTCATCCATTGCCAAAGATATAGAAATACAATCAATCATATAAACTCCAAACCACCTTCAAACTATACTTTCCGTAGTAGAATCATTAAAATGCAACCAGTTCTAGATCACCTAAACCGGAGCATTCAAACTATACCTAATGCATTACAGAGTGGGATTGCTAAATTCCAAGGGCTGGAGCCTGCATACTCCACTATCCAAAGTTTTGTAAATAAGATGTAGGCCCACAAATCAAATTTAAAGAGCAGGTCCTTGACTATTAAATTAATTACATAGCACAGTGTGTGTTTACAGTACGATTCTGTAAATAGCTTTTAAAATATATTTAAAATCTAGCATTTGAATATGATAAAACAAGAGATGGCAATGACTACCTGGCTGGGATCCTTCGTAAAGATTACTCCTTTCTTGTTTGCAATCTCATTTTGTTGGTTTAACTGTCCTTGTAAGGTTTTTACATCCATCTTGTATGCACCTAATTTGATCTTAATGTCATTTGTAAAATTCTGTTCTGTTTTCATGGCATCTTGGTTATTACATCCTAGTTTTGATAGAGAAGTTCTCATCTGTCTTCTTGTACCATTTAGATCCTTCTTAAGTTGTTTGATCTTTAAAGAATTCTCTAACCTCTTTAACCTGGTTTCATTTACCAGATCCATGTTCTTTTTTATTGTCATCCTCTTGTTGTCAACCTTGTGTAGCTCCTCTTGTAAGTCTTGTTTCTCTTTTCTTAGTTGTTCAAGCTCTTTTCTAGCAGTGAGCAAATCTCTTGTGAGGGCCATATTCCTTTGACGCCAGCTGACAACACCTGCTGTGGCTTCCTCCCCACGCAGCTGGCTGTATGTGCAGTTCTTCAGCGAAAGGTCTGTTTTCAGCGTTTTGATGGTTTTATCGGACATTATCAAATCAGTCTCCAGTTCAGTAATGTGCCTGACAGTGATCTTACCTGCCGCAATGTCCGTCTTTATCTGGTGAAGATCGTCCTTTAAAGCTACCATCATTTTCTGCATTCTCACCTTATACTCTTGGTTGACTTCTTTGATAAAGTTTTTCTCCTTCTGGTGTTGGTTCTTTATTTTTTCAATAGTGTTTTCAAAATCCAAGAGAACAGCAGAGTTTTCCTCTGCATCTGAATATTAAAAAAAACAAGCGGTAAGGTTTATGGAACTTAGAGCACTGATCCAAAGCTGCATTGGTTATTTGTGTAGCACTTAGAGGCCTTGATGGCATGCAGTGTTATATAAGTTTATCTTATTATTATTATTATTATTATTATTATTATTATTATTATTTTATTAAGCAAATAAAGACAATTATGTTTAAAGAGACACTGGACTGTACCTTTACGGAACTTGTTGTTCTGTTCCATTATCTGATCCTTTTCCATACAGAGCTGTTTGTTCTTTTCTGTTAGTTCGTCTATTTCCTTACAAAACTTCTGGTTTTGTTCTGTTAGTCTGTCCATTTCTCTACTGAACTTGTTTTTCTGCTCCAATCTATTTAAAACAATTGCTCAAGCACAGTGACAATTTGAAATCAGGGTCATGGAACCATCACTTACACCATGCATTTTGGCTAATAAAAAGGTAAGTGCCGGGCTGAAATCCATGATTAAGGTATATTAATTTAAAAGTATACAGAGTGCCCTTTAAAAAAAACCATACATGTAGTTTGGGCTCTTGGAAAAATTATATATTCCCACTTCCCCACTTTTCCAATAAAAAATAGCTAACCATAAAAATATAAAAATCATTGAAGCATTTTTTACCTGTGGACAGTGGATTTGGTATCAGCCTGTTGTAGATCAGCAATCTTACTGATCAATCTGCCATTCTCCAGCTCAAGAAAGACAACCTTTGCAGTCAGTTCTGGATGAGCAAGCTGTTGGCTCTTCTTGCCACCTACAACCTTTCTAGCTCCTTCTCCCTACAAGTACAGTAATATAATATAGCTTAGGTTTTTGTTTCCACTAACATTCTAGTCCATATATAACTATCTGGAAATGTATTTGATTGATTGATTGATTGATTTTATTAGGAATTCAGAACATGGAAAAACTAAACATGCATAATATAACATACAATGTACCTCGTGAAGATGTTCCTTGACATCTTTAACCTCTTTCTTAGTCTCTAGTAGTTGATGTTGTAAGGAGGTGAGTTGATTGGTTTGTTTCAAGAACATCATCTTCATAGTCTCTTCCAGCTTCTGAGCTGAGCCATTTCCATTCTGAAACAATGCAGCAAAAAAATATATAAAACATAATACTGTGTAAAGGTTTAAAAAGATCACTTAACACAAATAAAGGTAAATTTACGACTGCATAAAACAGTGGATGAGCGAATAAGGGAATATAATAAAGGAAGCCTTTGCCAGGTGCTGTCATAGCATCGGCCTACAATACTAATTATTTTCTTGTGTTTTTTTTTTTAATTTTTTTATATTTTTTGTACCCTATACCCCTGTTTCATCATTGGTATTCCTAATTTTTGCTGCTTTGTTTATGGTCTTAATACCACATCTATCTGGCTAAAAGGTTAAATGTAGGGCTAATCTTTCAAATGATACCATTTTTATGGGCTTTTAAATGTTCATCAAAATCTTATTTCCCTTTATTAATTGCGTTCATTCATACTAACAGTTTAAAAGCAAATTTGTGTTACAAACTATATAAGACAAACATGATTTAAAAATCAAAAATTTGTATTGTTTCATGCATAAGACAAACACTTTTGCTATTTTAAGCCTTGTCTACATAATAATAATAATAAATAATAATAATAATAATAATAATAATAATAATAATAATAATAATACATGAGAATATACAGTACCTTAACTCTCTTAAGAGCTCCCTGCCCAAGTTCCACAGGAGGTTGCACATCAGAATGAAGATTAGTGTCAGTGATCATGTGTGATTCCATGCTAGGCTTTGCCTTGTCCATGCTGACACCAGATTTTAATTTTTCATCTAAGAGGGCATGGTTTTCTCTACTCAACTCCATTACTTTGCATTCCAAGTCCTGAATTTTTCTATTATGAAATTACAAATATACAGACAATCACTTAACAAAAGTAAAAGAATCTACACTGAATGTTTACTCCAAATAACAATAACAAATTTTTAATAAATAAAATAACCCATTACTTGACATTGTATGCCCCATTGACATCACTTGCATTCTTCTCCGTTTTCAAAAGGGATTCAAGATGTTGGCATTTTTTCTGCCAATCTGCCTCAGATATCTTGAGGGTGACATTCTCCTCCTGAAGATCATCAATGGTACTGTTCAAGGCTTGGCATTTTCTGCAGAGAATTGCCACAAGCAATGGGCAAAAGAATTACTGTAATGTTACAAAAAATAATAATAATATTTATAATGATGTTGATATTTAGGGGCCGTTCACAATTATTAACATTTTCACAAGTGTACAAACAGTACTCTTTTCCGGTACCCCTCCCTCCCCTCTGTAAGTGTACAAAAACCATTCTCCATTTTTTTATAAAGTCAACTAAAGCAATTTACTTGGTTGCTTAAAAATGATATCCATGGTTACATTATAATTTTACCATTTTTATGCATATGTAAAAGTGTACAAATTTGTCAACCCCCCTCCCCCACATATTGTACTATTTGTACACTTGTGAAAATGTTTATAATAATCCTTAATAATAATCAAAAAAATAATATTGATGATGAAAATTATTCCAATTTCATAGATGTAAAGGAGAAGAAAAAACACCAGCCTGTATACTTTTTATATAGTATATATATACAGTATATATATTTATATTAATCATACATAATTGTATTACTTATTATGTAATACCTATCCTTTTGATTCTGAAGATCAGAAATCATGCTATCCTTGGTGTTCAGGAGTTGTTTGCAGCTAGCAATTTCTGCTTCTAACTTTGTCTCCATTTCACCAACATACCTAGGGAACAGCAAACCAATTATTATAAACCATATGCATAATTATTATGTGTTTATCAAATTAGTAAAGAAAATAAGATAATAGTTGAATAAAGATGTTTTCAATTGATTGATTCACTGATATTTTAAGATATTAGTAATGGAATGGTAATAACAAACAGTAACAGAATTGACAATGATGATGGTGATCATAATAGTGATGATGATGTTGGCAATGATAATGTTGAAGATTACAACTATAAAGATGATGATGATCATGATAAAGATGAAGTTGATGATAATGATTATAATAATAATAATAATGATATTGAGGATAACATTGATGATGTTATCTAAGTGCTGTAGATACATAGAACCAACTACAGCTGTACAGTAACAGAAGGAGTCCCATGTTATACTATACAGTACTGTACCTTTCCTTCTCATTTAACTCTGCAGCCAAATTCTCCTTGGCATCCAGAAGGTCTTGGAATGAGGTGTTCTTTGCTTCTAAGTCACTGATTTTCTTCTCCATTTCTGCTACTTGCCTTATAAACCATTATTAAAATAAACAAAAAAATATAGTTTTCCCATCATGAATCCTCTTTTCGTTTTACATTGCAATTTGTTTGTCACTACTCCAAAAACTATATAAGACTGGGATGTAGAATCGTAATTTCACCCTGTAATTTGGAGTGTAATTTGTTGTTGTGTATGAAATATCCAAACTGACAATACCTCTTTCTATCCTCTTTCTGCACTTCAGCTAACTCCTCTTTAGTGTCTAAGAGTACTTGGAAGCTCTTGTTCTTTGCCTCTAGCTCTTGGATCTTGTTCTTCATCTTGGTTACTTGGCTGAAACAAGTATTAAAGCAGGAATAAAAATAGGCTCTCAGAGGGAGCATGTGTATAATTGCCTTATACTGTATTATGTTTACTAAATTATCTGCATGATGATTCGGATTAAGAAGTTCGTAATTGTTTACTTCTGCAAACAAAGTTTTGGTTTCAGATGTTTAGGTAAACCAAAGAGTTAAACGCTTGGTCTCCAAGTTATGTTGTTGATATGCAATCCTCCTATTATCTTATTGTATCTTGAATAATACTACCATGATCGAGAGGGCATCCTTTAAAGACAGTAAAAGGCATTCGTATCGATCAAACATGTGCTGCATCTCTATGACTCATGTTTGAGTTTTGAACGCAATTTTGTTCGAGTTCCGACTCTATTTGATTTCTGATAGGGCGCCCCCTACCTTGAGGTAGTGTTCACAATTCATAATTTTATTTCACTCAAAACGAAGTGAGTCTAGTAAGCAAAAAAGGGAACATGTCCCTGTAAAAGATGCCAACCAGAGAAACAATGAAAAAGGCAAAGACATAATAATAATAATAAAATAATAATAATAATAATAATAATAATAATAATAATAA